AAAAAATAATTATTTTTGTTTGAAATTTATTTAATTAAAAAATTTTTATATTAAAAAGTAAAAACAGTAAATTTAAACTGGATTTAAAAATCTGTTTTTAAATTGAAAGTAATGAACTTTCATTTGTATTTTATTCCTAAAATATTTTGTATTTTACAAGAAATAATAATAATGTTGAGCTCAAGCTCTCTCTCATTACTTGTGTTAGGAATTAAGTTTATTTGGCATAACATTTTGGTATATTTTTCTTTTAATTTTTGTTGTTTTTTTAGTGTAAATTTAAAACTAGCAAAAATTGAAATATGAATTATACTTTTTGCATGATAAAGAACAAAGCTGGTGTGTAGCCTTTGAGAAAAGGTGTATGTGTCCACAGTAAAATGTGGCACTGAATGATGATGTGAATTTTAAATACAATTTCCACATTGCATTTGTCATAAACATTATTTTGTACATTACTGTATATGGTATATTGATACAATCTAATGGGTGTCAACACTATTTACCATTCCCAATGCAAGCAGCAAGACGTGTTTTGGAAAATGAAGACTGACATTGTGAATGTACTACCATCTTTGATAGATACTTTCCTCACTATTCTAAAACTAATCATAAAGAGAGAATTATTAGAAGTCAAAGCACGTTGTCCTGAGCATACATTATTGCATTAGAAAAGCAAATCCGACTCTAAGCTGCTAGATTGATCAGCATATTGTTCTTGGGCATCTTTGTGTTGAAGAAGCAATCATTTATGGTTAAGAATGTCCAAATATACAATTAAAACAACAAAAAATTGTTACAAATTAAATTAAACAATAAATAATAAAAACACTAAAGTAAAAGATAACAGCTTTGGATAATCAGTTCAGCCAGGCTAGTTTGCTATACAAAATCAAAAACATTTTAGCATTAATCGGCTGATTTTATGCAATTTTTAAGGCTACACAATTCATGATTTTGTTCTTTATCCTGTGAGGATTATAATATACAGAAAAATTGATGATGGTTAAGTGTATAAAATTGTGTGTATGTTCATATACATAGACCTACCACAAAATTTTGTTACAGAAATAAATCTGGTCTCCCTTGAGATTCTTAAGTGGTGAGATCCTGGAATAGCTGTTGTTGATTATATCTATAAGCTTAATAACAACTTTCAATATCTAGACTTCATAGCTCATCTGTAGTCTTAACAGTGTATTAAGTCAGTACATCACTTTACTGATACTTTCTGATTGAAAAAAAAATCAGAAAAAGTGTCAGTAAAGTGATTTAAAGCCCTTTTTTAAGTTCCAGGATAAAATCTGTTACTTATGGATAATGTGCAAAGTTGGTAATGTTGTTAGAAAATCATTTCAGCAACATAGTTGGAAGCTAATCTGCATAATGTCAATGTTATCCACCAGTACTTGGATAATATCATGTGGGAATGTAAAAAAATTTTTGATTAATTAATATTTTATCCTTTTTGTATGCAGCATTTTTAAAATAAATTTTGTACTTCTAAGTAAAGTGTGTTAAAATTACAGATTAATTTTTCATCCATAGTGGTTATATAATTTCAATAAAAGTTATTTTAAAAATTTGTATTTTCTTAAAAGGTAATAATAAAATAAATTGAACAATGGTTTAATTGAGATAATTATTTTTAAAAAATTTATATTTTAAGTGATAGTAAATTAAGATCTTTTTATGCAAATTATAATTTAGCCTCATAATCCAGGATAAGTTAGAAGTTTCAATCTTCAGTTAGAAAATTGAAAAGGTTCTTTTTTCTTTTTTTACTTTCTTAGATTCATCATTTCTTTCTTTCTTTTGGTTGTATGTTCTTTGAAATTAAGCATAGAAATTGCTACGGAGAATGCATTTCATACATTCCTATATGATAAGTTCTCATTTCAAATCTTGATGGGTAAGTTAAGTTTATTCAGGTAAAATTGAAATGTTTTCCTTCATGTTTTGATGTTTATCCACTGACTTGAATAAGGTTAGTTGGCATTACCTGGGTAATCTCGATGTTATACTCATTTCACATGATACCTGTAACCTTCTTGATGTGGTTCCTGTCCATGGTGAAGAGACCTCCCAGAGATGGTTTAGTAATTTTTTACTGTCTCTGGGATCTGAATGCTCACCCATGTGTTTGCTGTGCATGGTGTCTCATATGCCAGAAAGGGATCCTGCTAGTTGAGAGGCACATAACGTCCCCAATACACTACTTTGCCCCTACTTCAGATTAATGGGAGGCTCAAATCATGCTCCATTTGAATCAATTGGCTGGTTGCTGAGTCATTCTTGACCTTGGTCTGGAGTCAACTGATCGATGCAGATTGGGCGAACACATCCCTGTTTGACAGTTTTGTCATGTCAGACAAGTGCTCTTCTTGACTGAATTTTGAGGGTATAGTATAGCTCCTGGTGTGACTCTATGGGAGTCCTCCATGTGACAGCATCCTCTTGTTGGGCCTCATGGTGGATGGGGTCACTAGGAGCCAAAAATGATTTTTTAATCATGGATACCAAAAACACAAAAAATCCAGACAAACCAACAACAACCAACCAAAACATTTCCAGTCATTCAGCCTACTTGATAGTGCATGCTACTAGAGAAAAATCACTGTCCAAATACTCCCCTTTTCTGATTCAGAAGCTATTTGAATCAATCATTGGGAATCTGAAAAAAATACAGAAATTGAGGTCAGGGTACCTTCTTACAGTCTCCTCTCAACAATCAGCAAAACTTTTGGCAATGAACACTTTTGGAGATATGGGAGTTTCAATCACACCACATGGAAGTTTAAACTCCATCACATGGTGTGATATCGCAGATTGATCTAATGTCTGAAGACTAATCAGATGTTCAGATTGGTCTTTCAGAACAAGGTGTTGCTGCTGTCTGACGCATCTTCATTCGTCGAAATGGTAGACTGATACAAACTTTGTCATAGTTTGATGTTCAATAAGTTGCACTAAAATTTTTGTGCCTTTGACAAATTTGAGCCATTTACAAATTAGGCAGTTGTTCATAGTGCGGGAGAATAGAAGTAGGTGCAGCTTATTGATACAAACTTGTTAAACATCTAATTCTGATGTTTAACAAGCTGACATTGCCATCTTTTATTACAACAGGATATCTGTGCTGTCCAGTTCAGTCATATGTTCAAAATCTGATGTGTTGCTTCAAATGCCAGTGGTTTGGATATTCACAAACATCCCACCGAGGGAAGAGTGTATGTGTGCAGTGTGGAACTGAAGGTCACGAGTACTGAGCGTACCAGTACTCCATGCTGTGTGAATTGCAAAGACACCCATTCTGCCTACTCCTAGAAATGCCCTGCATGGCAGAGAGAGAAAGAGATCCAACAGGTCAAAACAGTTAACAATTTACCTTATCCAGAGGATTGTTGCATGGCCACTTCAAGTGCACCAATGAAACAGAAGACATTTGCTGCTGTTTTGAAATCCACAAAGACATGTGGTTCAAACAAATATTTCTTGTTTTGCCAAATGAATATCTGACTTGCCATGCTAAATGTTTATTAATTCCATTTAAAGAAACAAAAGGAGAATACTAGGAAGAAAACACCTACCTAAATCAGGGGTAGTAACCAGAAAAATGAAATATAATATTTTATATTATATTTCATTTTTGTAATCTTACCATTTGACATGGCACAGTATAGCCTGTATGGCTCTTGCGACAAAAAACACCAATGAACCAACCAACCAACCAACCATTATCTGTAATTTGTATGTAAAGATTTGGAACTAAGGTTTTTCCTTTATAAATTTGTTCCTATAATTTGTTATTTACACTTATTGGAAATTGAATGAAATTTACAAATTGTTGAAACAGTGTATATTAACTAGGCTATCTGACATTCATGTGTTTTGAATAGTTTATAAGAGAGTTAAGAGAAGTTGCTCCCCTAAAATTCATGAACAATAAGGATTGAAATCATCCACAAAGAATTTGTTTCAGTGGGTCAGACATTGAATAATGAACATCATGTACAGGTTTTAAATTGTTTGACTAAAAGCATTTGTTAAATAAAACTTAGTCTTCAGAATAAATAGAGAGTTATACTGCACAATAAACAATTTTATTTTGTAGTAATTAGTGTTTTGGTTAAATATGGAACAACATTAATAAATTGTTTTTTCTTGATTTCTCTTCTATAGTCTAATGTATTGCTTGCTATTATCTTAATTGATACCATAAAAATAATTTGTGGATAATGGGGACAATAAACATGATGTAACAAATTAAACTCATTTAAATTTATAGCTATTAAAATGCTTAACACTCATTTAAAATATAAAGCTTTTTTAACAATATTAAATTTTTGGTTTAATATATATTCTTTAAATTTACATGCTAGTTTTAGGAATTTATTCCATTTCCTATTTTGTATAAAAGTGATAGTTACTTATTTTAATTAATAAAAGTGGATGGATTGTGAGAAATGACAAAATAATAGGAAAAATTATGTTGAGAAATCTGATTACAAAATATGTGAAGTTACTATTAAAATATTAGTAGCATCATTCTAATTTTTTCATTAGGGTTCTCAGAAAGCATTTTTCTATGGCCATACATGCAGCTACAAAAAATAAATCTTGGTTCCACCTGTTTCAAAATGGACATATCTTGCAATAGCATGTACTGTACATTTCTCCATGTTTGTGATTTTATTACCCAAGATAAATTTTAATTGTAAACTGTCAAAAATGGCAGCTATTTCAATTCTTAATAATGAATGTAAAGTTACAAAAAGAGATTCCCTTTGCAAGAGATGTTTTCAAACAGGTACAACCATGATTTATTCTTTGTAGCTGCATGTATGACCATAGAAAAATGTTTTCAAAATGAACTTTATTGTGAATTAGAAAAATACTGTTTATGAAGACATTGTATATTTGTTATAAAATTTTATACATTCATTTCTAATCAAATTAAATACTTTACAAAATGTTATTAAATTAATGTTTTTTTCCAGCTACAAAAAGCCGTAGGTCCTGACATTACAAAAACCGACCTAGTTCCAGCTTTCCAAAGTTTGTTGAAAGACTGTGAAGCAGAAGTTAGAGCAGCCGCAGCTAATAAAGTCAGAGGTATATGTAAAAACAGTTCTAAATTATTATTATTAGAGACAAATATTTAATAATGATTGTAAATATTGTATTAACAAGGTGTGTGCATTTATAATTTATTTTTAAATATACATTTGTTTATTATTATTATTAGATTTCTGTCAGAATCTTTCTGCAGATGTACAGGAACAAGTAATCATGACCAATATTTTGCCCTGTGTAAAAGACCTAGTCTCAGATCCAAATCAGCATGTAAAATCTGCATTAGCATCTGTAATAATGGGCTTATCTCCAATTTTAGGCAAACACAAGTATGTTTTTGATTTGTTTTTATAATTAATATCTATGTAGAAGAAAAAATTTCAGTGTACCTAATAGAAATATTTTTAAATTTAAGTTAATAAATTTTGCTTTTAGTTTAATACACATTAATTAGTTCATTAATAATATACCAAATTTAATTTAGAATACTTTACATAGAAGATGGGTACATTCAGTTAAATGATTTCTCAAAATCAATTTTTAATTCTGAGAAATCATTTAGCTGAAATGATTACAAAAACCAAATTAGTCTAAAAGATCTAAAACAAAGATTAGTTTAGAAGTGTTTATTATGGTGAAGATGCTCCTAAATGTCAGACACTCATAACACTATAATCCATTGACATATAGAAGGAAATGGGTCCATTGATGCTTATGGTTTGTTATGCTAGTCCTCTTTCTATGACCCATAGTTGAAAAAGCAAGATATCGTACAAAAAGTTTAGAAAATACGGTACAAGACCTCACCTCCAAACATTTAGTGGTTGTGAATATATATCACTTGACTACACTGAGCTGGTAGATTTATTACAGCAAGTGGAATTGATCAATAATGTTCTCATGCAACAGTTTGATTTCATATTGTTATCTGTTGAAATTACAACCTTACTTCTCATCCCTTGGGATCTGTTATTACAGAAAATAGAAGAACCAGTCACCAATAGCAAAGCTCCCTTTCAGGGGTGCTGTGTGAAATGCTTGTGTGCTAGTTAAAACAAAAAGTTCTGCTATTATTCTTATCAAAGATTATTACGTATAAGATACGAACAGCATCCTTATCATTTGGAAGATGAAACAGATACAGAAATTTTTTGCAACATTTGAATGATAACCTCTATGGACTAGTCCTTAAACTAGATCAGTTGAATAATACAGGGACTCACTTTTTGAATCTTAACATTCTGTTTCATGATAGCCACATACTAACTAGTATCTTTTACAAACCAAGCCATATCTCATTGTTAATTCTGTGAAACTCGAATAATCTTTATTTTTACAAAATAGCAGTTTTCAGAGACGCACATAAAGAGCATTTACACATTATACAAACTTTGAAGATACTTCGTACGCATAGAGCAAAGACGAAGATGAACACAAAGAGAAGATCCGATGCATAGAGCAAATAGCCATGGCTATCACAACATCTTGCGCAAGATAAACAACAAGGTCCTCCAACATCAAACCAATAACACCCCTCATTCCAATGATCCCCCAGTTAACTACATACCAGTCACGTACAACCTGTCATTTAAGACCAGATAGCCAAGAAAAAGAATGCCCGCTTAGCTTTTAGGAGGTGCGTTACAATATTCGATTGGCTTAGGAACGGAAAAGACGCTCCAGATACAAACAGACTTCCAGAGGTATACTCCGTGCCCATCATTGATCATAGAGATAACTGCGAAGTAATATACATCAGATCCACTAAATGCAACTTAGAAACTAGGATCAAGGAACACTAAGTGCACACCCTACATCATAGAAACAACACCGCTCTAGCGGTATACTCCTCCAAACTGGAAATAGAGCCTCTATTCCCTCTAGCCAGAATTATTCACACTATGTTCTGCACAAAACACCTGAAATGGCTAGAGGCCATATACATATGCCTTAACACCCTCAGGAATAAGTACTGCATTAACTTCAAACAAGAAATGATGCTATCAAATCATGGAAGGCCTTCCTCAATAAAACCCTAAAGTAACACCATACTGATAATGTGCAGGTCCAAAATGATGCCATTGGTCACATGTGACAACGTTCCAGAGAGATTTTCTAAGCCAACATTTAATTTTTGACTGGAAATTCAAATTCGAATAGAGAATTCCATAGCACCTGAAGAAGAACCACATTAGGTTCGAAAACATTTGCATAGTCCTCTGCTTTCATTGGAAAAGAAGCACACTGGTTACAGGCAGTGAAGTTGGGTTACTTTGAAGATACTTTAAATGTTTAAAAGAACTAAAACATTGTGTGTTGCAGTAAACATGACTATCAGAAAAACCTAATATTTCATTTAGAATACATCTACATACATATGACACCAAAGAATCTCCAATAACAAGCAAAGCCACACCTCCAACCCCATGCACATCATGGCCAAATATAACCAAGATTTATATAACTTGTACAAGGAAATAATAGATGGCAGCAGAGATGCTATGTTGGCCAACAGATGCAAGTCTACTATAGCTAATTCTGATTTCACATGATAGATTTGTTGCTGGAAATTACATGTTAAAAAATACATTGTATATATGGAAAATTAGTTACAGACTAAGAAATCAACAAAAATAATGAAATAAATCATATGAAAAATCTTGTTAGATTTTTTTTTTTTTTGCATGTTATCAAATTTTGTTTCATATACATTGCGCACAAATAAAAATGAATTATAGAAACATAAATTCATTTGAAAAACAAAATTAAAGAATTAATGAACATTAAAATTAAGCAGAATATTTAATATGAGTTATAAGATTTTATTCACTGTCATGTTCTCACAATAAACACACACAGTTTCTTCTGAAATTTCTCTATCAACAGCTTTTGGGCACCCCCTGGATGTTTCATATCCTTCGGTTCAAAATTCCCTGAATGAAACTTTCAAAACCACATTTGACACGTCTGACATTTAGGAGCATCTTCACCGTAAAGACTACAAATATTTTTTCAGTTTGTAAAGTGTTATATTCTTTACAATACTTAAAAAGCATGCATAATATGTTCAATATGCATTTTATCTGCATACATTTCAGTTTGATTTTACGTGAAGTGTGAAATAAAAAATTTTAAAATAAGCTTTTAAACAAATAAGACATTACTGCTAATATGACACTGTATTAAGTTTCACAACTATCATAATTAAACTACATGTCTCTTTAAGTAATGACAGCTATTAATGGCACATTAAAGCTTCTGCCACCCATACAAAGGGGTTGTTGCAATTAATTACATGCATTAAGCAAGCGATATCTGTATTGAGCATTCCAAATTCAAACATCAAATTTGATCTGATGCAGATCTGAGTTAAAATCAAAAATATTTGTCAGTGTTTATATATTATTAAAATTATCTACTAGAGTTTTCAATGTTTTTGTTCAATAGTGCTTTACTTTAAGAACTTTATTCAATATTAACTTTTTTTTTTTTTTTTCAAGTTTAGAAATACTAATACTAATTAATTGCATATATGTTTTGCTTAAGAAATTACATACCCACAATTTTTTCAGCACAAAAATAAATCTGAATTAAATTTGTATAATTTCAGTACCATTGAACATCTACTTCCTATGTTTTTATCTCAGTTGAAAGATGAGTGTCCAGAAGTGAGACTTAATATCATTTCCAATTTAGATTGTGTAAATGAGGTAATTGGTATTCAACAATTATCGCAAAGTCTCTTACCAGCTATCGTCGAGTTGGCAGAGGACACTAAATGGCGTGTTCGCCTTGCAATTATTGAATACATGCCTCTTCTAGCTGGTCAACTTGTAAGTATTTAATTTATTATAAATATTTCAATAATAATCATTATTTATATTTCTTCAGAAATAAGCAGATGAACATTGTATTAGAATAAAAATATCAATTGTTAAATGACTACCAAAGATATATTGATTTAGTTGATCTGATTCAGCTGACAAAAAATATTATATGATATAGTTAATAGCTTAACAGTTTGGCTGGAATTGCTTTACTTCAGATTGACTTCTTAATTTTCTTCTGGGAAAAATCAAAATTGTTCATTAGTTACTAATTGCTATAAAGATATATGCATGTCTTTATAGCAATGTGGACTTCCATTGTCACAATATTAAAAAAAAATTCAATATGAGAAATTTTAAGATGCAAAGAATAGGATTGAAGAATCTCTATCAAGATAAGACTTTCCATTTTAGATAAGAAATTTTCAATTTGTGGAAAGCATTTGTAAGATGTGAATTATTTTTATTTATTTATGAATACTAATTCACTTTATAATTTTAACAATTGCAGGGTGTTGAATTTTTTGATGAAAAACTGAATACGCTGTGTATGACGTGGCTAGTAGATCATGGTGAGTTCATTTTTAAGATGAGTTGGATACTTTGTTGCTATAAATACTTTAGTTATATAACTTAAAATATTTTTTCTTTGGTTTCAGTTTTTGCTATTAGAGAAGCTGCCACACAAAATTTGAAAAAATTAGTAGAAAAATTTGGTCCAGATTGGGCTACGAATACAGTCATCCCAAAAGTTCTTACAATGTCACGGGACCAGAATTACCTCCATCGTATGACATGCCTTTTCTGTATAAATGTAAGTTACTACTATAATTAAAAGTATAAGTGCTGGTTTAGCTCTCAGGATATCAATTGTCTAATTAATTAATAATTTAACTTTCATTTAGTATAATTCAGATTTGGTTTTCTGTAATTTAAAATGTAAAAATGATTATTTTAATTAAGTTTCGTAACATATTTGCAAGACTTTAAAATATTTATCTAATATAAATCAAAAATGATTCAGTTCGTTCTTATTCTAAATAAATAAATTCATCTATGGAGGAGTCTGGCCTTTATTAAAGGCATATCTTAGATTTCTATGTATTAATGGAATTGTTTGATGGGAAGATGTCTGAATTACTTGAGAACATTTATTACTAATAAATTTAGCATAATTTTCTTTTAAAATCATTGAGAAAAAATTTTTCATTTTTGTGACGATTTTTAAAATATTTTGTTAACTGAAATATAATTTATGCAATCTTTTCTTGGTTTACTCTTCTAAAAAATGTTACAGTATAAATACCTTGTTGGTTACATTAATGCATACTCTATAGGTAGAAATAACTGCTCTTTGCAATCATCACTTTTGCAACCTCAAACATGCATTTTTTCTTTACAATTACTTTAATGAATATATCTCTGTGCATCAAGTAGAAGAGCAATATGTAGTAATGGATGGTCATTAAATTATTCTCAAAATTAGAGAAGAATTGTAAGGAACCTTTATGAAATTTAAAAATTAGTTTTGGTGATGAATATTTGAATGAGGTACTTGTTTTCCAATGGATGACATATGACCACGTCGGCCAGTTATTGTCATGTTAGAAATACCTGACAGAAAGCCAGAAATAATGTATTTACCACATGAACTGCAATGTTTAGGTGCAATATTTGAAATTGTCTAAAACAAGTAATTAATGTGCATTAATGAAATTATAATTAACTTTATATTATAATGTATTTCAGTTACCTTTAAAAATGTGAAGTCTTATTTCTTAATTTTTATAAAGTATGAAGTCAAAGTAAGACATTGATATTATCAAAACTAATATTTTTACAAAAACCATGTGTTTTAAATGAATATTAAAATATAAATGCTATTTTAAAGAATAATGCAAATTTTCATTATTATTAAATATAAAAACTGCTGCAAAAGTTTTAAGAAAAATAATCATTAGATTTGTAGATTGATGTAAAATGTATTGAAATTTATGAACATTTATATTTCTGTATTCTGTATTTTTACTCTTCTGAAATTGCCAAGAAAGAAATACATAAATTACTTAATTATTCGCATTTATAAGTTTTAATATTTTTTCTTGATGCACTCTTTGATGGATTATTACATTAAGCTATTTTGATGAGATAGTTATCCAAATTACTGTTTGTTTTATTATTGATTCAGATATACCACACCTTTCATAACACTCCAGGTCACTTTCAAAATGAAAGTGACCTGGTGAGATGCTTGTAGAAATAAATGAAATTTATAAAATATTATTTATATATTTCATGAATATCAAGCATTTTTAGTTTTCAGCAATATTTCTTGGAATTTGTGAAATATGCAAATGTTGCTGGCTACTTGTGGCTTAAATGTGGCACTCATACTCAATAAACTCGTGTAACACAATTTAATTTATGTATTTTTCTGTTTATTATTATTGATTTTAAAATGGTTAATTTTTTTGTGTATAAAACAATATATGTTTCCTTTTTATGTATTATTGATGCTTGAGTAATGACTTTCGGTTTATATTTTTATTTTTTGTAATAAGTAATTTTTGTAAAAGTGTGTGTCAATAATGTTAAGCAGAGGCATTACTGCTAAAAATGTTATTAAAGTATAGAAGAAATGGCATAAATAAATAGCATAATTAAAGTAATATAAAAATAAGGTAAAAATTTTTTTCTATTCTCCATTATTCCCCTGGGTGGTTAATACAATAAACATCATGCAGTTTGAAATAGAAATTTTATAAGTTCTTATTCAGTTGATTGCAGAAGAAAAATTTTTATTTCAGGTCCTAGCAGAAGCATGTGGGGCAGAAATAACCAACAGATTAATGCTGCCTACTGTACTCGGACTGGCCAATGATAATGTAGCAAATGTTCGATTTAATGTAGCAAAAACCTTACAGAGGATAGGTCCCATTTTGGATAAGGGGTAAGCAACTGTTTTAGATTTGAATTTATAATTTTTATTCTATTTAATAATACATTGTTTATTTTCAGAACATTACAAAGTCACATTAAACCCTGTTTGGATAGATTAATGAATGATGCCGATGTAGATGTAAGATACTTTGCATCAGAAGCATCAGAGTGTAAGCATCTGTTTGAAAGAGAAATTTGAAAGGATTAATCTAAATGTTTTTTTGTTTTTAAATTATGAATTTTTTAAAAAATAAGTACATAACTATTAAAAATTTAATTTATAAATTGCAACAACAAAAAAAAAATTACAGTTTAAAATTTATTTGGTACCATCCCTTTTGAGAAAATCTGGACCTTATCAGAAGAAATACATAAAAATAGACAATAGAATTTTCAAATCTCTTACGATTTGAAACTTAGATATTGTAAATTTTTTTAAGGATTAGAATATTACTTTCATAACAAACACTTTTAATTTTTGAAGGATTTGGTAATTAATTAGAGGAAAAAAAATGAAAAGCATGTTACTGCACCATTTTATCTAATAAATAAATGTATTCCACCTAGTGTATGTTTTTTTTTTTTTTTTTTTTTTTTTTTTTTTTTTTTTTTTTTTTTTTTTTTTTTTTTTTTTTTTTTTTTTTTTTTTTTTTTTTTTTTTTTTTTTTTTTTTNAAAATAAGTGACCTTGTCTTTTAATTTAAAATGATGATGATGATTACATCTTGTTTTTGTTTTCCTGTATGTATCCTCCATTTTTGTTATCTTAAGAAAAATTTAAAGTAAGGCAACGAAAAACTTCAATTTAATTCTTATATAAAGTGGTTCATTTTTGTTTTATATCTGTTAACTGTACAGAATATTAAGATATTTTGAATTTTATTAGGCATTTGTTCAATGTAATTAAAAATTTTTCTTACAAATATTTCTCTATGACATTACATATTTCTCCTTCATAAACAGTTTGGTGTAAAACTAAAATGGTGTTTTCTTGTTTTGTGTTATTAATCAGGTTCAGTTTTTCAACAAAATATCATTTTGTTATAGTTTACAAATAGAGAAATGTAATGAGGGTCTGGAAAAATCCATATAAGTTTCTGTAATATACCTTTTACCTTGAAAAAAGAAAACTATTAACTTAATTGTCATTTGTAAGGTGATTAAAAGCTGTACATTATCTTTTATTTTTGTAATTCTATAACTCCTTACTATCAAATACTGCTGATTCAACTTTTGGTGTACACTGTAAGTTTCTGTACAAGACTGGTTTGCATTTTTCAGATGGTACTTTGTGATGATTGATCAGTCGATCCTGTGTTTTGCCTTTCACTCCTTTTCATAAATGGCTACATTGAGAATTGCCCAAAAATCCTCATTTCTGGCATGTTTGCAGAGTCATCTTTCTTTTCGACAAAGGTGATGCTTTCTTGTCATAGGTAATCCAGTATCATTTTGGCACATTCTTGCTTGATCTGACCAGAAGACACATTCTGCTTGAGAACAGTTCATCAGAATGTAAGGAATCAGCAGTGTCACATACATTCATTTAAGTATTGCTGGGCATTGATAGCAAAACTTGATTTTCTTATTAGGACTTGAGTCAACAATCCTTTTGGTCCCATTGCAATTCAAACCAAAACCTTGTTCTCAAGTTCATTTTTATTGGAAAACTTGTTGACAGGTTTAGAAGAGATGTCATAAAATTGTATTATAATGTATACTTTTTCCTAACGTTACTGTATCAAAGAACTTATTTATTGCATTTCTTATAGACAAGTAGTGTGTATTTTTGTGCCTTTTAATAAATAAATATTATATTTATTAATCACAAGAAAATAATGGTAGAATAAATTGACAAGCATCATCATTAAATATAATCATATATGATTTGATTGCACAAGAAAACATTATACAGATGGAATTAATTTCAACTATTCTTGCATAATGTAAATGCAAAACATTTTGTAATGAATATTTAAATTGCAATATTGTTCAAGAAAAAGTTGATTTTACCATTGAAAAACTCTCATATAGTTTATTTTTCGGGTAATAATTTCATACTATTGTACTCATTATACTGAAAGTTAAACAGACATTAATGCTTTTGTTTTATAATCTAAGTTTGAGTAAAATAATCTCAACATTATATCCAGTTCCTAATTTTACATGAATTTAGATTTCTGCCATTTCATTATTTTATTTGTGTAAATCTTTACTTTTCAATTATGTGATAGTTTAATTTCGGTTGGTCATTAAATTCTATCATATATTTTACACATTTTCCTTTTGCTTTCATTCTATATTTTCTTATTTTAAATTGATTTCTTATTGAACAGGTAAACTGTAGTATTGTTTCCTATTATAAACGGTTATTCGGGTAGTCGTGTTAATAGTGGAGAAATTAACTTTCAAAAGTAAAATCATGCTGTAACAAAATTCAAAGTATCTGAAAATTCTACATATGCTAATTTAAGTTCAAATTTATGTAAGTATTCAACATGTAATACTTGATTAAATGTAATATGTAAACTGCAAAGAACAGAGTAGGAATGTTTATTTTTCTGTGACATACAGTTCACTGAAAATTAAACATGTATAATGAAGTAAATCTCCAATAACAAATGATTTGTTCAAAAAGAAAAATTCCGCTTTTGTGTTAGAAATATGACAGAAATTAAATCTATTTGGCATTGAAATATTAATTAAAATTTAAATGGTTTATAATAATAAAATTAAAATTAATAATGTCCTTGTTATGGACACTATCCCTTTTGTAAGTTATTCTCTTGAATTTTTTTCTTTCTTTCTAGCTTAAGTGTTTCAATTCTCACTTTGTCTACTTTGTCGTAACATTTCCTGTGTTGTGCAATCTCTTTAAACTACTATTTAATACTTATTATTATTAAAGGTTAATAAGTGGTTTTTTAATGTTAATAATATGAAAATACAATGATCCATTTGTGGATTTGCTTTACAAATTTTCCACCTACCTTGTCACTTATTCCTGTTTATGCTCTTGATTACATTAAAATATAAATTAATAATAATCTTGCACCATTTGAATTTTACAATTTAAGAAATTGAATTTATTAGTTAGTGATAATTCAATTAAAAGTTTTACTCCATAGTTCCAATAATTACTATTTGTTGAAACTAATATCAAAATGTACTGTTGAACAAAGTTGAGAGAATGTTTTTTTTTATATGTAATATTTATTGTTACACAGTTTATATTTAATATTTAAAATATACTTGAAAAAAACTTCCGCTGGGTAAGATTTCAAATATTTTGGACAATATTTTTTTGTCCAATCAATGTTTATTTACAGTAAATGTTTGGGAACTAAGGTGACATTTTTCTATTAAATTGTATCATTTGGTACTTGACTGTTGCTACTATCATGTTTTTGCAGAAAGTTTTGTCTGCTGTTTTATGCAATGATGATAACTGTACAACATACTAAAAACTCTGGAGTATTTAATTACAGAAACTGCTTAGTTATTATGACTAATGAACAAGCTTATTACACACCCAGCCTATTTAATTAACTTATCCCAAAATGCATTTCGGCCTTACTGGCCCTTATCAATTGAGTGACAATTGCCAATAGTACAATTATTACCAGTTATTACATACACATAAGTAAATACACCAGAATCCTATTAATAATCTAAGGGAGGAGAGAGAGAGAGAGGCTCTGATTGATTTGCATATACCTTTTTTTTTTTTTCTTTTTAATTTGTAAATACTAAAATATCTTCGAGAAAATGTCATTTGTAATCTGTACGTTCTTCGAAGTAAAATAATTGTTTTTTTATGTGCACTTTTATGAGATTATCTGTTTGTTTTTGGAGATGGATTTCATTAGAACGTAATACTGCGTACGAACTGATTTTCAACTTTGATTACGGTTACAGTAATTCGAGCTTAAAGGGGGTATTTTTTTCCACTTTATCCACCATTAAAGTTGAAAATGATTTGGATCAGCCATTACACATTACCCTTAAAATTATAGCTTAAATTATATACGAAATGGTTTAAATTACTGTGACCAGACTTTACAGAAAATGAGAGAGTGAAATGAAGTTTTTCCTTTTACAGCCTTAACAAGTTTATTTTAAAAAAATTATTGGCGAGAGGTCTGTTATTTCGAGGTAGGTACGAAGAGAATAGTTTGTACTTTTTTTTTCATTTAAAAAAAAAAAAGGTAAAAACTTAAAAATAATTATTGTTAAATTTGAAACTAACGAAAGAAATTCTTTTCAGCAATTGATTTAAACATCTTGAACATTGTACGTTAGTCGAAACTTACAAAAAAAAAAAACAACTTCAATAAAATAACAGCCAATTATTATTTGTTATCGAAGTGCACTGACAAAATTGATGAGGAAAATTTTTGACGTGTATACTATTTTAGGTGCAACGATATCTTCTAGAAAAATAACTTTCGTGTAATAATGTTTCTGTAATAATAATAATAATAATAATAAAATGCAAATCATCTTTTGGCTGCTGTCTCGTGAAATTTTGCAGTGAATGTCAGACTCTACCGTTCTCGTATCGACACCGGACGAAATATTTATTTTCACAACTGTGTTTACGTCCCTCTGCCAAGCTTTCACGTGCGGTCTTTCGGCAAAAGTTACTTGTCGTTTTTTGTTTTTTAGTTGTGTTACTTGAATATAATTATTATTATTAACTTTTAAGTAAGATAACCATTCCAGGAGACATCTTAACATTGTTCGAATTCTTCTCTTTGTATGGAAATTTCTCTGCATCTGGCATTTATTAATCAAATAAAACATATTTAGTGAAAACCAATTCTACTTTTTTTTCTTTATCTTCGGGACCCAGTACTTAACACCTCCGTTCGTTAAACTACATTTCTTCAGGTCCGTCACACTAAATTCCTAATGCAATTCGCTGTATTTGGAAATACTAAATACCTGGAGGATTGTAATCGAGAAAATTCAAATACTAACCTTTTCTGGTGAGAAATACTTCGGAAGTATTAGGAGTACAGTACATTAAATTATTGACTGGCATCGTGGCCGTAACCCAGGATACAAAGTTAGAATCTAACCAATTACCAATAGGGGTTCGGGGTTCTCGAACGTGAACGGATCCTTGGTTGCGAATACCTACGCTATAGTAGTAGGACGGCGATTTAGGTTTTAGTTTGGACCAGGAATGAATAATTAAATGTTAAAAAGTCCAAAATGGAGCGGTTAGAAGCGGAGTCGAAAGAGGGGGCATTAAATTACGTTTTGCTTTTGGGGTAATACGGAAATTACCTTAATTTTTTCAAAAATTACGATATAATTTTATTCCCTAAATTCAATACTTAAGGGAATAAGATTTGTTTCATTTTTTTAAGTTCGAAAAAATTCGTTTGGGAGAGGCCAATGGTGGAATCGAAACAGAATCTCTACTTCCGATACAAAGTAAATTACATCACCATTCTTAAAATTTAATTCAGTAGAGACGAAATACATTTGTTGGTATAGTCAGCGAAGTCGTATCCATAACAGCAACGCGTAATTTGCCGGATGTTTTCTTACTGTAATACAAGTATTAGAGATGAAATTTACAATACACGGCATTACCTCCATTGGCATAATTTCAGATACCGGTTTCGACAAATCGCCATCTTTATCTACGGGCGGAGTTCAAATTTTAGAGACGAAGTGAAATGTCGAATATTATTTGATTATTATTCGACCGTATGGTGCGAATCCATTTTTTCCTCTATTCACAGCCGCAGTAAGTGTTTCAAACTCGTTACGTCGGAATTGAATATGAAATTAATTTTAAAATGATTTTTTTTTTTTAGATGCGGAATAATTTCCAAGACTGCAGATTCTGGTCGGATGCTAGAACAAACCTAAAGTAAGAATTTGTGTTATATTTTTTATTGATCTATCTCTTCGTCGATTCTGTCTGTCGTCTTTGTAAAGCATTCGTAATAGTAATATTTTAAGCAAGTGTTTACAGAAAGTAACCTCAGCTCTGTAAGGCGCATTGTTTCCTTTCTGCATCTCCTTCTAAAGGTTTCTGGATCCGCTGTTAGTTTGAATTAGTTGTTGGAAGTCGTCGCAAACAGCCTGGTAGAGCCCTTTTTTTAAAACACGGTTTAATGACTTTAAATTAGCCGCGAGGTTTGGAAGCGCCGAAGACAAATCCAAGATGGCCGCCACGAACGAGGAAATGTTGACCGGAAAAGACGTTTCGCGGTATTATAATTTGCGTTATTACTAATTAAATGTTTTGATTTATATACGAACGGAAAATCAGCGAAGAAACTTTTCCCGCGAAAACAAACCCGCTTAATGCGGTCTCCAGCAACTTAACTAAAATTCATTGGCACGTATTCATATCCTAAGTTATTGTTTGTTTCTTTCCGTGTCGTGTTGGGCAGAATTTGTCACAAAATTTGATGTTAATGCGCCTTTCCCCGACCCTTTATTTATTCCATTGGCTTGGTGCATTGTTCCGAGAATTTCTCAAATTTTTTAACGCTACTCGTACTGTACTCTGGCTCTCCACTTAGCGCGATTTTGAGGAAGTTCTCAGATTGTTCGGAGCATGAAGTTAGAGCTTTGGTGGACGTTGCAGGAATTTCTCTGCCCCTTACATTTCTACCCATCTCGCGATTGGCGAAGAGTTTTTGCAGTTTGTTTCACCATTCGATTTGAAGGGTAAAGTGTTAGTCGAAGCGTTACTTTTATGAGGCTTGCACACGACGACGACGTTGCATTTATGCGGGTAGAACGGGCACCCCGGGCACGTGTCCCCCTTTCCGTCTCGGTTGCCCTCCTCTTAATCCCCAAACAACAGAAAATTAGTGACTTCTAGCCTATTTTGCAAATATTAAAGAAACTGTTGGATAATATTTGTCCATCGACCTGTGCAATTTCGTCGTTATGTTGGTCTCGAAAACAAGGAATGGGTTTTGGTCGAGTTAGCCCCGACTGCAACGAGTGTCATCTTGTGGGAGCACTGACCCGACGTCGAATCGTAGAGTTTGAAGCTCCTTGCGTAATGTACGATGCCCTTTTCTAAAGTCTGCGGGCGCCGCTGAGACAGAATTTTGCGGAATCTTACATTCTTACGGCGGGAAGTCATTTTTCTTTAGCTATTTGCTGGTTGTGCCGTCTGCCATTTTAATTTGATTGTCTCCTACACATTCGAGGAAGTGACGTATCTTTTCCGTGGACCGCAAAAAAAGAAATCCGATATTTCGTCTAGAAATTCAAGAATATCGTCAGACGTATCTCTTATTTTCTTTCCAGAAATTTAGATAATTGCCGACAAACGAATGGAAACATCGGTGACGGTTAATGTCGACACAAAGGAATTAGCATCGTTCCGTGAGATCGAAATCAAATAGCCACGGGCAATGACATCGGACAATGATTTTTTCACCATTATAAACAAAAATTCTTTTTTTATACGAAGAGGGTCCAGAGTTACGTTTGAACGGATTACCGCAACGACAATCCACCGAGGGGGAGGAACTGACGTTCGGAATATTGTTAATGATTTGGGCAAGTCGACAAAGCCGCCGCCGCCGTCTCGATTTTGTTCTTTAGACGGAGTGAAGATTACCGAAAAATAAACATTGTGAGACTTGGCAGTTCTCGGGAAAAAAATGAGGGTGCAATATTAATCGAGGATAAATATAGGGATGCTAGAAGTAACGATATATAGAGTGGCAAAGGTTTCAGCAGTCTAGCGGAAAATCTGATACGACTATTTCTACCCGTCTTAAATTCCAAGTCTTCTACTCACGTGTATATGTACGAATAGAACACGCGAAAATGTTTATAAAGTACAGTGGAACCTCGATATACGACCTTAATCCGTTCCTGATGTTTGGACTTTACTTCTTATGGGAAAGGTTGGTTTGGTATTCTACCTATTCGGTAATATAAAAATGATTAATCCGTTCTCATGTATAAAAAAAAAATGGCTGGCTTTAAACACCTCGCTTTCCTGGCTAGTACCTGCTTGATTTTTCATGTGATCAGCAGGTATCTTGTTAGCTTTCTCGCAAATAATTGCTTTCGATACGCTGTCTCCAGTACACTGTTTTTCACTTTTCCAAAGCAAAAGCAATTTCTCGACATGATCTAATGTCTTCGATCTCTTTATTTTTCACGATTGTCGATATCTTCATTCTCAGAATACCGTATGCAACAGTTAAATCTCGAACACACATGCCACTTTCATATTTCTCAACAAACTCTTTTTTCAGTTCCATTGTGATTCTAGTCATTTTCTTTTTTTTAGTTTTCTGTTGCTTTTCATTTGCCTTTTTGCAATTCATGATTAATAAAAATAATAAAATTTTACTTACAAATTGTTAAATTTCTTCTGATTTTAAAGTTATAAACCGTTGCATCACGAACGTCTAGTCTGGTCTAGTACACCGATAGTGCTACTTGTTCATATATGGCACGTATAATTGAATTAAGTCGTATACCGAGCAAAATTTGTTTCGTCCAAACAGGACGTATTCCGAATTGGACATATTCTAAAGCAGACATATACCGAGGTACCATTGTACTTGTTTGTGATGTCTTTTCTGGCTCCCCTCCCTCTGGAGATCTTTGCTACTTTGATAACTTTTTTGCATACGAGTCTGTGTGCAATACGGCTAAAGAATACCGTAATTTGTTCATAGCAGTGTGTATTGGAATACCTGTTTTGTTACCAAAGATAGTGACGAGAAGAATGAAGCGTTGTCTGTAAATCATCTTGTGGAACTTTTGGATGGCAAAGACTTTTTAACTGTAGTTCTTCTGAAGAGGTGTGGTCAATGGCCTTGATTGATCTATTGGGCAGACATTGTTGGATGACAGCACCAAGCTATTGACTTGTCAAATGCAACAATGATGCCGAGCATGTCATTGGATCATAGTGAGTGAGAAGTAAATCTGATTTGATGCACTGAAAAGGCCTATTGGCATTTGTTCAACCACTGACACATCCAATGGATGCAAATTTGATGCATGTTATGAACTATTGTAAGTTTGATAATAGTTTGCTCATTCCTCAGTATGGTAAAATGTGGATAGGTTTGGGCAGTGTCCATCCTTATCAATGATGTATTTGATGGAATTCATGAAGAATGCTCATTTCTCCAGTCATATTCCAAACCCATAGTGGCAATGTGGATGTTCATAAACATGGTGTTCCATCGCATCCATAGCTAATGATGCCTTTGCATATCTAGATTACATAATCAAATATCCAGAGACTATGGAGTCCATGATAGATTGGAAGATGCCTGGAGTCACCTTTACTCCAAATGGAAGATGTTAGTTTGTAGAACCCACAATGTGATGCAATATTGCTGAGTTTCTTGTAAGCATTCTGAAGTTCTACTTGCAAATAGTCATCAGAAAAGTCTATTTGAGATTCATCCACCATTAAGTGTGAAAAAAATGTCTTCTGGAAGTGGTAAGGGGTGCTAGTTGAGTTCATGACAATGCATTTGGTTTTGTGATATTTATGAGGACTCTATGTTCGGCAGGCAATTGAATTCCATATTTTCATGACCAAAAGTGGAATAAGAACTGATCTGGCTTTGCATTTGATATGCATGACTTCTGACTTCAACATTACAAATTAACAAAAGCATATTTAGAGTTCCAGTCCTCCCTCAAACTTCTGGAAAGCTGCACTACAATAATTGGATGACTGCCAGAAGTCATATACATTGACACTATAGATCTTTGCAATGAAAAATTCAGTGTCTTGAAGCTCAAAGTAGTGCAATGCATCAATTTTGAGAAGGTTGGTAGCTCCTTTCTTGGCTACATAGAACACAGCATCTGAAAAGATGAACTGACAGAAGGTGGTGACAGTTGTTCATTACATTGTCTCCATCCGACTTAAGCTTCTAGAGAGTTTGAGCTCAATGACTAATGGGCTTTCAACTAAAGTCCAATGAGAATGACAACTTCCATGCTCAGACTGAGAACAATTCTTGTCTTGTATTATCAGGCACTCTAACTCAATTTGTGAAATGGCAGAAGTCTTCACTAATGTCAATTGCAATTCACAAACAGTCAAATCATGCAATGGCAAATATAAAGAATTTCATGCTAAAATGTTGACAGAATTAAAGTAGTTTCCTTATAGTCAAAGTCCATAATGCACTCAAGTATTGTATGCCAGTTTAGTCATAACAAACAACCTTCTTGTTGGCTATCTTAGGCCACCATAGTCCAAGGCAAACTCAAAATGACTTACCTGTTTGTAGAATTTTGAGCCATCATCTTCATCAGGTTGAAATTCTGGCAACTGAGGCAATGTTCCTGCAGATGTTGATGACAAAGGCATGTGTACAGTGGAGTGATTGTCTTTGATAAGTTCGAATAAAGCTTCCTGTTTATGACAAGACACTTGCTCTTCAGTGTCTTCTGTTCTGCGAGTAATGATTTTACGAGTGACTTAAGGATATGGCAACGGACACAGAATCAGAGATACGAACAGTAACAATCCTAATTCGGTCTGGATCTGATCATGTCCTGCTTGACTGACTGATCCCAAACAAAAGACTTCCCTGAATCTCCTGCCTCACATACATGTGACCTAACCAGACCCTTGGTCATTCTTTTATTTACATTTTCACAATCAAAGAGAAGTGTATTTTGAAGACAGAATCATTTCACAATGATGCAGCTATTAAGTTTGGGGGTTGAATTTATAAATACAGTAAAACCTATTTGAAAAACCTGTACTATGTCATTCTGGTTTAAACATTGTATAATTAAAACTTGCATAAAACTGATCATCATTAAAAGAAAATTGGATTTAATAACTACTCTACAGGATTTTTTAGTAATGTGATACTATGATTTTGATTATACCAAAATTCCTTTTATGATTTGTTTCAGGACTTTGGATCTAACAGCAACTGATACTGATATCAATTTCTCAGGATTAATGTACACAGAAGTACCATAGCCTTCTAGAGATTACAAACTCATGTAACCCTTCATTATGTCTACCTTTCAAGTATCTCCCACTGTTTGTTGTGGTGCAGTAAGCACCCAGCTTAGTTTCTGGTTGATGGATATAGCGAGCTGTCGAGGAGGATCGCATACATCTAAATATATAGTTGCAATTGGTTTTGATTCTATTATGAAAAGTGTAAACAACTTAAGTATGAAATATTTTTATTGATTTTTTTATACAATGATTTTTGAAAGAACAACAACACAATCAGAACCTCGTCAGCCTTATTGGAAAATTTTCCGTGATCAGTCTGTCGTCTTCGAATACCACGACAATGTTCACTTCAAACTCTAGACAAGACAAAAGCATTTACCAATTTTGACATTAGACTATGTTTGCAAATACTTCTTGTTTCAATTCTGTACAGAGAAACTTTTGAATTAATGGATGCATGTAGTTTCTCTTCTTACTGTTGTATCTGATGTTTCATTTCAGTAAAACATCTTTTGTTTGTCAGCATCCATTACCAATAGAATAATAATACAGAAATGTGCAACTACTATTCTTTTTTTGTGATGCCTGTAAGAACTTTCCATCACTTGTTTCCCCAAACTCTTTGAAATCTGCAACTCAGATGGAAACCATACTGGGAGCGTCTTTTATAAGTGATATAAACCAAGAAAAAATATACACACACACACACACTCCAAATTGTTGTGTGATAAATTTGGGATTATCAGGACCAAAGAAAGGAAGTATTAAAACCAACTAGATAATGAGCACTTAGTAATAATTTAAGAGCCTTTATGCTGTTCTGAATGAACAGTATGAATGGTTCTTAAATTGATTTGTTAGTTTTGAGGTCAAACTTCTTTTTGCAATGTTCTCCAAACATTACTCAAAACAAGTAGTATTAGCAAAACATCCAACATGTGCTATTTAAATGAAAATTTCTATACCTATTTTGAAATTGTTTGTGATTAGAGTTGGACAAGTAAATAATCTCGGAAACACCATGTAAATAGGAATGGCAATGCCCCTGCAGATGTCGCCTTCTCCTATCTGAATATTTTGAATCTCCGTTGCTGAAAAATAGATAATCCCATATAGACACTAATAATTTTTTACTAGTAATATACAAAACACAAAGTGTATAACACTTATCTGGGCATTTCTTTAAATGAAATCTTGTGCATATTATCAGAATAAAAGTTGTTAAATATAAGAGAGACTAACGTACCATCTCTGGAATATCCTTCAGCACAACCGCAAGTCTCCAGTCTGACCAACTGCAGTTCGATGGATCGAATTTGAGTGTCACACTTTTCTACGCAGATCTGGACGTATATAATGTAGATTTATAAAAACCATTTCTGTAACAATAAATTTCTTAAAGCGTACCTCTCCATTAAATGGCTGCGTAATTGAGCAAACAGTAGAATCGAGCTTTCCCGCGATCAGGAAATTTGGAATTTTTCTTCTCTGCAATGAAGTATATTAATAATAATTATTTGGATAATACAACTTTAGATATTGTTTGCTGGTAAATAAAACAATGTATAGAAGGCAATATTAGTATCTTTTATTCAAATCCTCCATTCTTGCTCATGTAGAAATCTAGCTTTCTTGTGAGTGTATAGTTTCTAATAATTAGCTTTCACACATTTCTTTTAAAATAAGTTATTGTGATAATTTCATTATTCCCTAAAATCAGTGGCTGAGTGTGTTGAAAACAAGTATCAGCAGATTCCAACTAATGAAAAGTAATAATGGAATGACATGTTGTAATTTTGTTGTTCAATTCTCAGCTTTGAAGAACATAAATATTGACTGTCTAGAAATGTATGGGTCATTGGATCTTTACTGCATTGACTTGTACATAATTTATATTTCAAAGAAAGTTTTATTATTACCATCACAAAGAGAATTGCTATGTTTACATAAGAAATTGTGTGAGTAGATCATTTTTCTGAATGCATTATTTTGATACTTAGTTTTATAAAAAAATTTCTTACAATTATAATAATTAATTATGGCTCCTATTTGGGAAATAAATAGTGTCAGATTAACTGTTGTAAAACACAACAGTTTAGCTGACAATCTTGTTTTTATATTGCTTAGCCTTAACAGCAAAAGTAGGGGAATCCTTTACAATTAATAACAAAAAAAAAAAAAAAAAAGGAAACTTGCATGCACCCAGGTGATAAAACTGAAGCATCAAGTTTTCATGATTGGTCAGAAAGTTCTCAAAAATTATATTTAAAAACATTATTCTTGTAGTAACTCAAAACATTAAAATGAGCAATTATTTGATTTCTTGGTGTTAATGTCACAAAGCTGGGCTGCAGTTTTTATTTTAATAAAACTTTTCTCTTCATGTACTACAGAATTCTATTTCAAATTTTACCAATATCTCTAAGGAAAAAAAAGGAGGTTTTCATGTTTATTTTGACTGGATATTCAAAGAGTTTTTTACAAAAATGATTACCAACATTGGAAGGATGCCCACAGGAGTATCAATATATATCAGGGATGTCCAACCTTTTCGTTTCTCTGGGCCACATCGGAAGAAGTCATGGAGTTTTCGACCACAAGTATATATAATATACTTGTGGTCCAAAACTCCATGACTTTGGATTAACATGTCAAAGTTTTAATACTTATTACTATAATTTAATCACAAAAAAGGATATTTTAAAAAATTACTTCTACAGACACTTTTAATTTTTACTTAGAAATTGATAAATTCATTTATTATAAAGGAGACAAACAAAAATTTATTTTAAAAACACAGTCAAATAAAAATGCACTTTATAAATAATATATAGTCTAAAAAGTAGCCAATATGCCAAATTATGTTTTTTATGCCAAACTAAAAAAAGGATAGCCAAATCCATTGGAAGGAATACTAAATAAATCTGGAGTTGGGACTCAAAGGATTATAGACCCAAATGCGAGGAAAGGAGAGAAAGGATAAAAGATAAAGAAGTGAGGAAGGTTGGAAAATTAAGGATCAATATTTGCATAACAGAAGATCTATTTAACCTTTCTCACTACTATTTATCTTTTGCCTTTCTCTCCTTTCCTCAAATTTGAGTCTATAATCCTTCAGTCACAACTCCAGCTTTATTTAATATTCCTTCCTCATTCATACATTTTCAAGTATTTTAAAATATTTCCTTTCCGCTCAAAAATAAAATATGTATAAAGGTTTATGACATTGTGAAACTTATTTATTTCAACAGCATAAACTCAAAAAAAGAAGTAAATAATTTGTTGGTTTTGTTTACGTGTTTATTGGCCGCAGGTTGGATACCCTTGATATATATCATGTCCATACATACCTAATTATTTTTGAAAATATAAGAAGGTAATAAGAGAATTTAGAAAAGAATTAGTTCAGGGATAACAGTATTCAATATTTATTAAACCCTCAAAGAAAGAAGTCAAACTTTAATACTCTGTGTATTTCACATGTACTGTAAGGATTTCAGAGCACATCAGCAGTTAGTGAGCATCGTAACAGAAATGGGTGCAAGATAGCTCTGGATACTTTGAAAATACTATATAAAAGAAGTGTGTTTGAACATATTGAAATTATAAAAGTACATGGAGAAAAAAATAAATGAAAATGAGGAATTGACAGTTGAAGAATATGGTGATCAAAATGCAGAAAGTTTCTTGACTTAAATTCATTTTTAACTTAAGTATAATCAAGGTGTTTTTTTTTTTTACAGATTTTAAGGCAAGATTTTAAAACCAGATTGAAACGTCTTCAAATGCGTGGTTTCTAGTTCGTTGAAGTGAGTGGCAATAAAAGTTAATTTTAACAAATAAAACAATTACAATGGCAGTTGGTACAGATGATGATTGGCTTCAATGTATTTTTTATGTAAATGCCAGTTGAAGAGGAGGAGTCGGGGAGACTCAAAAATAAAGCTATTTATCAAATGATCAGTAATGAGGAACAATGGTTTGTCTGTGAAATAATATACAGTTTTTTTGTCTAAAACAGACTTGTGTGTTTTGATTTTTGCCACAAAATAAGGAATAATATGTTACCTTATTTTTTAGATTTGTACACAATATGAAATTCAAAATGTTCAATTTCTGACACATTAATTTAGTTCTTATTTGTACTGAGTATTTAGTTATGAATACATTTAAAAATTTACCATAATTAATAATATATTTAAAATTACTTATTTTGTTCAAAAATACTTATCACATAATATTTTCTTATTAAAATTAAAGCAGAATGGACAATGTACATCATATTTTTACATAATAAATGATTTAGAAAATAAGCAAAAAAATGGCATTTGTCTGAGTATCTTACACTTCTTTACCCAAAAAGTCAGCATCCCATCTACATTCCTGGGGTATTGGAATGTTTCAAGTACGTTAGAAAAGAATTGCATTGAACAAAACACACAAAAGATGGTATTTTCTAAATTTTTCTTCAAATTATAATTAGCATTAAAAATGCTATTAATAACTACTAATTTATCATCAATATCATTATAATAAATTTAAAATTTTTGATGATAAGTTATTTTTTTTAAACTGATGTGCACAATTTCTAACTATTCTACATGATCACATTTTTCTGAAACTTTGCAACACTTTAAAACAATTGCCAGATAAAATTTCACCACCATCTTAATTACAATTTGTTTGCTTTTATTTTAAAAATAAAAGCAAACAAACTAATATACACATTTAAATGACTAGACTTTAGAGTAGTCATTTGTGTGTATAGTTCATAGTTGCATAAGAATGCATCTGCAAACACTTGCTGTTAGTTTCAAAAATGATATATATATATAGTTTTTACATTAAATAGTTNACAGAAGTGATTGATTTAATTTTATTTAATCCTTTAAAATATCTTATTCAAGACAAGACTAATATTTTATAACTTCTACTCTAATTCTATTAAGTAAGAGTTTTTAACTTTTATTCTATAAGTGGTTAGTGGGCTAGGCTAGGCAATTTTATTGTTAAAATTAGTGAGAAACTAAGACTACCTAGTTAATTAAATTAATGAGTATCAGTATCTTAAGATATATGATATGAATGTATGTGATTCATGATTGTGATAATAATAACTAACTACAGTACTAGACTACTACTAATTACTTACTCACTACTTTACTAACACTAATAAGTAAATTACTTATAACTACAGACTGATATGTAGAGCTTATATAAGAAAACTGGCAAGACTGATAACCACTTAGCCACTGATTATATTATAATAATGTAAGGACGGTTAATGTAATCTTTAAGTTAAATAACAGCAAAGGTAATTCTACTAATTAATTTATATTAATGTGAGATATCCCCAACGACATCACTTATTCATAAATATTACTTTAATATATATTTATATGCTTATTATTACTTTAATATTATATAAATAATAATAAATAATATAATAATATATACTTTACAATGCAGAAAAACCTAAAACAATAAGTTAAGGATATTGTCGAGTTTGCACCAAAGGAGAAAGTCAAATTTACATAAACTTCTAGGATAGAAAAATGCCAAGGAATATTACCAGCACACAAAAGACAGACCAGTTTTTTCCCCAACAGAGAAATGAACTCCAAAATTACTGGCAATTTTTCAATTAAATATTTCAATATAATCATATTAAATTGTATCCAAAACTCAAATGTTAATATTCTTCATTAATACTTAATGAACAGTCAATAATTTCAAATCAAATTTTTTAAACAGTGAAAGAAACATTAATGGTGCCAAACGTTTTTTGTTTTTTATTTTACTTATAAAATATATTTTTTGACTGATTTATCAATCAGTCAAAACACAACCCCCAAGATTTTACATTTTTGGACTCTGATCTTGAAATGTTGAGAAATGCACAAAAAAACAAGGTCGGGTTTCTTCTGTATGTGGGGACACAATTTTGTCCACCTAATTTGAAGCTTAATACACAACTTTTGTCAAAAATTTCTGAAATTTCACAGGGAGGTGTGTGTACTAGAGACATTGATGCTATTAAATTTTGGCAGTTAAAGGTCAAGGGATGAAGAAATAGAGGGGGGTTGTGTGTCGTATCTTTGATAGAATCAGACTTAATAATTTTACTTGTTATTAATGTTTACAATTTTTCTTTTATAAAACTCATCTGTACCATGAAAATTAAACTTTTTGCCATTTTATAATAATTAATAATATGAAAAGCTTTTTAGCAAAATCTTGTAGCAGATTGCACCACACACACAAGTTTCTTGGCAAAAAAAGTTAAAATTGTAACTTACTGTATTTTTTATTTGGATACTATTACCAAAACAACAGCAATACAGATGTTACTTTGATGAACATATCTGTTTTAAAAAGCCAATTTTCTATCACAGTACACTTTAAAATATTTTTATACAACACAGTAAACAAAGCACACAACACAAATTATTAGTAAACACACACAATTTGAAGCAAACTAATTGACAAGATTAGTCAGTTTAGGCAATGAAATAGTTTATAGGTAAGCCCAGCGTTGCCCAGGCAAAAAATAAGAACAAACATTAAGATTACCTAATTTCATACTTCTAACCCTTCTATTGTATTTAGGGATTGCAATTGCTGGATCCCTCATCCAGCAATCCAGATAGATCTGCAAATATTCAATTAACTTTCTAAATAATGGCACAAAAGTCTACGTTGTCAGCCTTGCCACTTTGCTACGTGTGCTATCGCTCAGCAGCGAGAGCAATGTTGCCGTTCAGTGCGGCACATGCTACACTCCCTCTCTACACTGCACCACCCGCCCTTTTACCTCTGCTAATCTAATTGCCAGTTGACTTTCCGCTCTCACTAAATAAAGTGTCTTCGTGTTAAATAAGTAACTCCTATCCTAGTCCTGGTACATAATTCTAATTTACGGTCGGTTGCGACGTCAATGAATCACGTGACAGAACGATCGCAGTTTAAACTGGCCATAGAAGCTTTCTGCAGAAGAGTCGAATTTGATAACTGCTGACGCAACCCCGAAATTTGTCTTAGACAAACTAAAAAGACAGGACACAATCTTGAGTGCCAACCTTTCTGAGGCACTCCACAAAAGAATCAGAGAATGGCGTCTTACTGAGGTCACAGGGATGCTGATTTACATACAGAACCTGAAGAAGTATGACCAAAAAATTGAAAAATATGCTGAATCGTGTAAATACATATGTAGTGGAACAACAGCAGCAGCAACAGAGGATATTACAGAGGTAGAAAACAATGATTCAGATAACCCAGATAACCCAGATTCCCCGAATTTCACATTGGAACAAGAATTAGAGATCCAACTAAAGCATGAGAAAGAAAACTTCATGAAACGAAAAGAAACTAGTACTGAGAAGGATTATGATAAGTTATTAAAAAAGGAAATGACTGTTTATGAAAGTGAGGGTATCAAAACGAAAAATTATCTTTGATTTATCATTATTTGATGACACTGAAACCAACTAGCGTAGAGGCAGAAAAGGCCTTCTCAGCAGCAGGATGGGAGACAACACCATCAATACCATTTGTTTCTTAAGATTCTACTTCCAGAAAAGTCAAAAAATAACAGAAGTGATTGATTTAATTTTATTTAATCCTTTAAAATATCTTATTCAAGACAAGACTAATATTTTATAACTTCTACTCTAATTCTATTAAGTAAGAGTTTTTAACTTTTATTCTATAAGTGGTTAGTGGGCTAGGCTAGGCAATTTTATTGTTAAAATTAGTGAGAAACTAAGACTACCTAGTTAATTAAATTAATGAGTATCAGTATCTTAAGATATATGATATGAATGTATGTGATTCATGATTGTGATAATAATAACTAACTACAGTACTAGACTACTACTAATTACTTACTCACTACTTTACTAACACTAATAAGTAAATTACTTATAACTACAGACTGATATGTAGAGCTTATATAAGAAAACTGGCAAGACTGATAACCACTTAGCCACTGATTATATTATAATAATGTAAGGACGGTTAATGTAATCTTTAAGTTAAATAACAGCAAAGGTAATTCTACTAATTAATTTATATTAATATATTATAATTATAATCTAACTAAACATTTAAAGTTAATTATCTCTATCTCAAGTGTTAAACCAAACCAAAGTTAAGTTTACTACCTAAATGTGTAAGAAGTTTTACTGATTTATAGTGACCAGTCTAAATAATAAAAGTTTCTTAAGTATTTAAAAAAAATGTTTTATTTCTTTAAAAAACCCATAAATTTCTGGATAGATAGATAGATAACACTTTATTGCACCAAAAAACATTCACGCCGGATTCCCCGAATTTCACATCCAACTAAAGCATGAGAAAGAAAACTTCATGAAACGAAAAGAAACTAGTACTGAGAAGGATTATGATAAGTTATTAAAAAAGGAAATGGCTGGAAATTTGGTTTATATAACTACAAAGGTTATCTTACATAGCCAATTTTACCTGTTTTCACCGTATGAAAGAATTAGCTCCCTCCTCTTCCAAGGCTAATTAGAGAATTTTTGGATGGTTTAAAAATATGTTTCTTTTTTTGTGTTTTTGTGGGAAATCAATCTAAAATAGTACGGTAGAAGCAGAGTTCTTCAGGGTAATTCTTAATCCTCACCCTCTCCCCACGGAGGGAATTTCCAAAAATCCCTTCTTAGTGTGCATTCCCATGGTGTACCCTAACTGTACCAAATTTCAACTTTCAACTCCTAACCGTTTGGACTCTGCATTTATTATCATCATCAACCCATCTTGATTATATTATAAGATTGGTTTGATTTTTAGTTTGACTATGCAGTCTGGAGCCATTGTGTGATAAAATTAAAAATACACAGGTAATGAAACCAGATGTGCCTGCCATTATCATCTGGAATAGAATTAATTTTCACCTCAAACAACTATAAACATGAAAGTAATTAGAGGAGAAGGTGGTGTTATGGAACACTGCGGGTATTATGGAACCACCCCATTTCGAACTGATAATAAAGGCGAGCTGTAGCGGAATGTGGATGAACTGAACTAGGCAGACATCCATAGCAAGGGGAAAACCCGTTTTACTTCAGTTAAACGGTTGTCCGTATTTAATCAGCAAATTTGTTTTTTTCAAAATTCACAAGTTTTGAATGCTAAGTGAATTTAATTATTTTTAAAATATAAATCGTGTAGTTGTAGGTTCACTGGTGCATGTATTCCGTTCCAGAGACTTAGGGGTACATATTAATCTGTGTGATGTTCACGTTTTTTAAATTTTGGTCTCGACAGACATAAGTTAATTCGAGATGGCGATGCGTGAAATACGGACCCCTTTGGTGCTTTTACAGTAATATGGAACTCAACTCCTCCGAACTCTCTCTTTGCAATCAGACATTCGTCCGGAGCAATTTGGGAAAAAGACACTAGGTAGAAAGTCTGAAAATATCGAAAAAGAGCTGCTGGAATATATATTGTTGATGGAGGTCATATTTTTCTATTATAAAAGCATTTTTGCGATAAAATACATTGGAGTAAATAATTTTGTAATTATTTAACATTTTTTGTCCTTTCCTATTTGTTTTTGGCTACATTAAAGCATTTTTTTGAAAATATACAGTAAGGTTCCATATTACCACCCGATTTTCTCTAAGCCTACTTTCGGACTTTTTGTACAAAAGCCTTCAAAAACCATACTTACAGTTACACTAGCGAAAAATCCAATTAGGAACATTTAGTTTACTAGTTACCAGTACTTTTCGCTCAAAAAATGTGGGTGTAGTTATGATACCTTGTTTACAATTCACTAAAATGTAATTGGGGTTCCATAATACCACCTTCTCCTCTAATAAATATGTTACTACTATCGAAACATATGCAGGTTCTGACAAACTTTTAAATCAAAATGTGCCATAAGAACTTGAAATCCTCAATTAATTCTTTGAAGAGAGAAAGTACACTAGTACAACAGTAGAACTTCCAGTTTGCTGGAGTGTGATGTTAGACTAGTACAATGGATCTGTTTGACATTTTTCAATGCTTATTCCTATAATATACATATACTGTAGATTTATTTATTCATCAAATTTATAAGACTGATTTCTATATTATTGGTGATACTTATGTATTTACAAACACAGGTGGTCTTCAACTTCTAGACAATTCACTCTCTTGCACACTCTTAAGCTCCTAAATGGCTTTTCATACACCAAAAACTTCACAACTTCATACATTTTGAGCCAATAAACAAAATTTTTAACTATTGTGAGACGGTGTTTGCTTCCAGTTTTGGTTTCGATAACAGCAAAACCATTTGTGAAAAATAAGTTTTATTGTTTATTTTATTTAAATTACAGTTTTAATATTTTAAAAAAGCATTCTATGCATGGTCACTGTATAAAAAAGATCTAACATAGAAAAGTTAAGTTTTCATTTTAGTTCTCTGGGAATGGAAATCGTTTATAACATGCAACTTTATTGTTTAACTTTCATACACATTACTTGTGAAAGCCAGTGACTACCTGTATTGTAAACACAATCTACAATATTTATCTGAATAAACATTGTAAAATTTATATAAAATCAATTTAAACTTATGATTGATATGAACTACAAATAATACAAACCATTTTTTGACAAAAGGTTCATATGAATTTATTTCCCTAACTCCGCATTTATCTTTTCTTAAAATCAAAAGTATAGTAATTATATAGTTATAAAAATATGAATAATTTCTTTCTGATAATCCTATTTTAATTTAAATTCAACATCCTTTTCTTTTAAATAGAAAATTAAGTTGTGTAATTTAAACTAATCAAAACAAACTCAAAATACTATAATAAATGTTTTCACGTAATCTTGTATAACAATAGCCTATTTTAAGTAAAAACAGATATAATATAATATAAATACTACTATACTAAAATAAACTAATATAAATACACAAAATTTTATATTTTTCTTACAAAACTTGAGATAATTTGAGTACACATGCTTGAATATCTGAATATTACATAATTTTTTATTCAAGTGTCTGGATAATCAAAAGTCGACAATTTCACTAACATTCAAAAGTAGACTTTTGTTAAATAATTCAACACACTCTTCAGAATAAAAGGACAGAAATGATGTTTTGTAAGTTAAACAGTACTGATTTGTGATGTAAATAATAATTATAAATTAATAAATATTATATATATATTATATATTTCATTTAATAACTGAATTCAATCAAAATACCTGCTTGATTCATCTGATTTCTTTAATGAGATGATAAATTTCAAATGGAAACGAAATAAGTTATCACCTTGAATATTTGTTCTTGTGACAATTAAAACAACTTTCAAAAGTTTATAAATATTTGTTTGAATTATTCCAGAATTTTAAATTCAATAAATAACTTTCAATAACAAACTCAATATAAAATTTCTAATTATTTAGTAATTTACTAGAAATTATTCACGTAAATTAATATAGATTATAAATGATGACAAACCAAAATATTTTACTATTTAAATTTTGCACAATATTTCGCTTAGATTCACTTACCTTATATTCAACAATAAATTCGATAGTCTTCAACAAATCCTTATTTAAAATTGATCTTTTCATTTCGCAACGAAGCATGTACTGAAAAAATATAAAATCGACATAATTAGAAAAAACCATAATAATAATAATAATAATAAAATATATTAAGCATATATAGAAGAGTTTTCAAGCTTTAAAATTCTATTATTACTGTATTATCTTGTATTATTTTAAATACAGTTAAAAATAATGTAATGTATTAATAAGTTAATTTATAAAATTATTAGTCAGTGTTTTTTATTTTAATAATTATACTCTTAGAGTAGTTGTAAATGTTACTATGTTCATATTGTTTGTTAGAAATTAAAGTTTTATTTTATTTACATTTGAATCAATAATTCAATTTATAGGATCCTGTCAGATCTGAGCCCAGTTTGTCAAAGCCCTTCTATTAATTAAAGTTCTAGCCCTCCAATTAATTAGCTACTGTTTTTTTTTTTACAAGAGATGATAGAAAGCTGTCAACTGTATAGTGCAGTGTTTCCAAACAAGAGAGAAATCACTCCTTGTAGGCAGAAAAACATTTTGTGTGAATTTTTCTTTCTTTTAAAGACTGAAACACAACAAAAAAGAGAGAGTGAATTTGAGATATTTCAAATGATTGATTATTTTTCATCTGAATGAATCCATTGCTACAAATAAGAATTTGTATTTGGCAAGCCTTGTTGGAGTTGGCACTGGCATTAAAAGGATATGTTAAAAAATTGAAGATTTATTAATTGTAGTAATTATTATTAATAGTAATCTGGGCATTGTTTGTTGTTTGTCTATTGTCTTTGTCATTACATCTATATTAATTAAAACACTCATATATGTAATATCCAATAGTATTACAGCATTGCTTAAGATAACTAATGATTGGCAAGTGCCAAATCTGACAGAGGGCGCTCAAGATGGCTACCGAAACAGGTAAGGAACCGACCATGTGTTTCTTCAGTGCCTGAGCCGATTCAGTTCCCATTGGTGATGACTACTGCAATGACCAAATGGAGAACAAATAACTGAATTTATGTCAAATTCTAGACTATATCAGTGACAGGAAACGTTGTCTTGTAGGTGAAGATGTTTTGGATGCTGAACACATCATTAGAGTTTAATCCACAAAATACGATGTGTCCAGCATCCAAAACAGCTTCACCTTCTACAAAACGTTTCGTGTCGCTGATATGAGGGGTGTTCAAAAAGTATCGTATCTTTGGTCGGCAAAAATACATTTATTGATTTTGAGGTACAAAACCCTAATCCCCTTCAAAGTAGTCTCCTTGGTAATGTATACACTTCTCCCAGTGCTCCTGCCATTGCTGGAAACACTGCTGGAACGCATCTTTTGGAATGGCCATCAGCCGGTCTGTCGCATTCCGCATGATGTCTTCTCTTGACTAAAATCAGGTTCCTTTTAGCGGCATTTTCAGCTTGGGAAATAGTCAAAAGTCTTACGGAGCATGACGAACCACAGGAATGTTGTGTTTGGCGACAAAAGTCCAATTCAGATGCACAGAATGGGCGAATGCATTATCATGATGGAGCTGCCAAGTTTTGGTTGACCATAGATCAGGTCGTTTGCATTGCACAGCATCACAAAGACGATGAAGGTCCTCCTGGTAGTACTCCTTTGCGATGTTTGGCCTTGTGGCACATACTCAGGATACACCACCCCACGGGCGTCTAAAAAAACTGTCAATATGACCTTGACATTGCTGCAGACCTGCAGCACTTTTTTTGCCTCGAGGATCCTCCCCGAAAGCTTGCTGAATCTTGTGAATGGTTTCCGCTTGGGTATCACCAAGCTTTTGGCAAAATTTGATGCAATATCACTGCTCACGTTGTTCAGTCATTTTCCAACGTAGTGGAATCTGATGAGAGCTCACTACACGTCCTCACTCATAGGCCGACTACCAGCGACTGACACTTCCTGCAGGCGGCAAAAAATTTAGGACTGTGCATGATGACCCCTCCACAACTCCACCAAAAGAAACTTCCTGTGCATCATTGGTTTACACGGGAAAAAGAAAGATCCAATACTTTTTGAACACCCCTCGTATAGTCTAGAATTCGACATAAATTCAATGATTTGTTCTCCATTTGGTCATTGCAGTAGTCATCACTGATGGAAACTGAATCGGCTCAGGCACTGAACAAACATATGGTTGGTTCCTTACCTGTTTCGGCAGCCATCTTGAGCATCCTCTGTTGAATTTGGTGCTTGCCAATAGTTGCCCACTAATAGGCACATGTGAGGCTGATAAGTATTTTTAAGCTGTCTTCTCAATATTTGTATGAAGAAAACAATAACTATCTGATTACAATAAACAAAGTTATAGGTGTATTTTAACTTATATATTTGGAACATTACAATTGTGTGTGTGTGTGTGTACACACACACAAAATTATACATTTAGTAAGTCACAAATTTTGACAGCAATACATAATACATTTTATTGATCTCTGTTACAAACAACAAAGCCATACATATTGAAAGATGTGAATTAAACAACAGATGCTCCACTGAATGGTAAGAATCTGGAAAGATACAACTCATTGCCATTCACTCAGACATTGTGTCACTAGTTTATGAACTAATTAAACTGTCTTCTAATTCAGACTGTGTCATGATATTCAGCCAAGGTTTGGGTGAATCCCCAAAATATTCAATAGAATTCAAATAGAATGTTGTGTAATCTGACCTTGTAAGAGAAGACGACATTAAAAAACTCTCATAATCTAAATGGCTTGTTACATTCTTGACAATCATTACTATGTTATAACCAATAACATTTTATTTTAGTTTGTCAATATTCATGTATATAAGTACTTTACAGTGTTCAATTCTGTAATATGTTCATTTAAAATATTTCATTCTTTTATTTGCTTTGTTCTTTTTATTTGTAGCATTCATATTTTCAGATTTGTTAAATTTTGAATGCTAATTTACAATCTAGCATTTAATTTTGATCACATTGGTTATTAACATCAGCAATTTTCATCTATAGCCCCTATCTAAAACAAATTATGGTATATTTGAGTTGACAATTTTTTAAAATTTAAATACAGACTATGCATACAAAAGAGCTTCAAAAACGTAGTAATCTCTTAGCACATTATCCATCATGGCTGACACGACTCAAAGCACCACATCCTATGGCAGCATGCATCGTCGTATCACACCATTTGGCTTGTGAGTTTGCCATGTTAATATTTAAAAAATATCACAAAATACCAATTCTGTGGTATTATAAGAAAAACCATGACTGTAACTGTGGTTATTTATATTCATTGTACGTTAAATTTCAACATAGAACTTGTCCCTTATACCATACTCCTCCTGATTCAACAGTTCAGTTTCCTAATGTAAAGAGTAGGACATTCTAGCGAACCCATGTTGAAAATTGAGAAATTGAACAATTTTTTCCTGCTAGATTAGAATCAAATACAGTCGACCCCCTATAACACGGTAGATACATTCCACTTTATAAGAATTTTGCATTGTAGGAATCTTCAAATACATGAGCCAATCACAGCCCGGCATGTGTGCAGTTTACTGACTATGGCTGTTTGAAAGGTTTTCTTCCATAAAATTAATCGATTCTAGACTAATTTCACTCAACATTTCCAAAACACGTATAATTTTTTGGGAATAATCTGTATAAACTATGCTATAAACAAAAAATTGTAGAATTACTTACTGAGTGTGCACCGTTCGACCATGCCATTGCTTAAGCTTGTTTTCACCGCGGAGCAGCGCACCGAACGGCGGCCGTGTTTTCTGATAAGTTATTTTTCTGCGAAAAATTCGTTGAACTTTGGAGACATCATTAATAGAAATAATTTTTATGACCGTTGAGTAAGAAATGTTTTTTCACAAGAAATGTATATCATTACAGTACTGTATTAGACTTACAGTACCCAATTTAGGCCTATATACTGTGCAGACGATAGTAAACTCAACTTACCCGCCTAAACTCCATAGTGTGTAAGTAGTTCGGCTGCTTGTCCACTATTGGTCCAGATTCAACCAATCCTGTCACCACACGAGTTGGCGATGACGTTTTACCGCATCTTACGAGTCTCTTTTAGCATCTTTATACGAATACGGTCGCAATTTTTTCACCGCGATATACAAATCTGCATTATATGAACCCGTGTTATAGGGGGTGTCTACTGTAGGTCAATTCCTTAAAAAATACTTTCATATTTAGATGAAAGGTTTGACACAGTCCTTAATGCTTTAAGTGAGGTATCTGCTACAATCAATTGGCTTTGTTAATCTACATCAGTGGTTCTTAACCTGTGGTCCGTGGACCACTGGTGGTCCCTGAAAGCATCCAAAGTGGTCCGCGAAAGTTATCCCAAAATTATTAAATAAATGACGACACGTTGATGACAATGCGCAGTACGTCAAGGTTAGAGCCAATAGCAGACTGGGCTGGGGTATGGTGCGCGGTCAGAAAATATGAAACTGGAAGTCACTAGCAATAAATTTGCATTTGAAGATAAAATCAGTGCGTTTATCGCTAAAATCGACCTATGGATCACCAAAGTCGAAAGAGAGAATTTTTCTGCGTTTGATACATTGAACCCAATTATTGATTGACAGTATGCTGAGATTAAAGGACAAATACAAAAGAACATTACATTCCATTTGCAAAGCTTGAAAAATGAATTCTATCGCTATTTTCCTGACTGCAAGGATAAAGGTATTCGGAAACTGATTTGCAATCCTTTCATAATCAACATTTCTGAGGTGACGGATGAAATACAAGAAGAGTTAATTGAAATGCAACATGATAGTAACTGCAAGGATACATTCGAGACAGGAATTAATCTTAAAGATTTTTGGAGCCAAAAAGCTATTGCTTTCCCTAAAATTCGAGAAATTGCTTTACAGTGCCTAACTTTATTTTCAACCACATATTTATGCGAGCAAGGATTCTCAGTGCTTTTGATAATTAAAAATAAACATCGAAATCGGTTGGATGCCAGTGCCGACATGCATTTCCTTTGAGTAGCACTGAACCAAGAATTCAGCAGTTGGTAAACAGTATGCAGTCACAAAAATCGCACTAAAATAATGTAATTAATGTAACACTTTCGCAAATAATATAATACTCTTGGTTCCGAATAATTTTCTACGTGTTTAATTTATAGAACAACCTTATAAGAACCTATATTACTGCCAAACAGCTCGTGTCCAATGACAAGACAAAAATTTTGATAAATGGTCCCCCATCACTAAAAGGTTAAGAACCACTGATCTACATAATGAAATTGATGAAAATTTGACTAAGATTGAAATTAAATTGGAGAAAATTTTTTAGTTTAAGCAGGATGATCTGAGTAGTAAGATACAAGGCCATCATCATCTTTGTATAAATGGAATTTAGGAAATGTAGACCTGCTGAAGGCAACTCAATATTTAAACAAGACTAATTTTTATCAAAAGAAATTCAGCAATTTTCAAAATCTAATTATTTTATATTATCTGAATATACCTGTTTTTAATAACATATTGGATGATTCAGAAGATTTAATTTCTAGTTATTTTGTTGATTATGATCTATTATTGGGTGATTCAAATGCCAGGACTGACACAAAAATGGACAGTATTTTTCATGGGATTATTATTTTGAATTCACGATTATCAAATGATTTGGTTAGCAATAAGCAGAGTGACTAGTTTATTGAATAGGTTAAAGACTAACTTATATATAATAAATAGTCATCACCCTCATGATTCTCCAGCTAATTTTACATGCATGTCCAAGTTGGGAGCATCAATAATAGATTTATTAGTACAGTAGTGTGTCGATTATCTGAAAGTCAATCATCCGAAAGAATTCCAGTCGGCAAATTTAAATTTTCGCCAGTGCTGTGGCGCTGCAATCTTTGGCTATGTCTTGGGCTACTCAAATATTTTACGTTNTTAATATTTTTTTTGTTGATGTGTGTGTTTTAGCTGGCAGCACTGACACTTTTGTGTGGTGTTTTTCTGAGGACTGTGTGTCATGCTGAATCGAACGTTTTTGATACTAGATCAACTTTTAAAGTATAATTTTTTTTGTTTTTATTTTTCAATATATATATTTTGTTTGTAAAAAATAAAGAAATAACTTTTAAATGATACAATAGCCACGATTATTATTTTTAAAAGTTTACATTAAGCTTAACATCGATGAAAATTCAACACGAAGCGACACGCAATGGAGAAAAATTTCAACACGGGATAGGTTAATATATTTTTTCGTACAGAATCAGTTATCCGAACAACCCCAGTCCCCAATTGATTCGGATAAACGACGCTCTACTGTAGAACTGTTTCAGTTAAATCATCTGGTTTGGCATTACAGTAAAAAACATTTTTTTAAATATGTTTACATGTAACAACTATTACTAAAAAACCTTTCATTAGAAAATTACCTGAATGCTAATAAATACTCCATGATATGTTTCATATAAAGTTTTGTTTGGCTTTGGTTTGAGAGGTATTTCAAATGGAATTTCTGTTCTTCCAACTGGTAATTTTCCAGGCTTTGATATTTCCATATTGAAATGAAGCAACTGAATTGGCTGAAAATAAATGAAATCATCTATTTAATATTTTAAATATTAAAATAATCCACAATAATTCAATTTTAAGTATAAAGCATTTATTTTATTGTCAGATAATTAAAAAATAAAGTGTTCAAATTCTATTATTTTGAAATACTTCATTGCTTATTCTTAAACTACTAACAGATGAGCCCGGCATTACCTGGATAAAAAAAAACAACAAAAGTTGATTATTCGATTATTTTGTACTTTTAATCCTTATATTATATTATAGTATTTCATTTATATTTACAAAGGTTTACCACACCGAGTGACCAATCTAACACATTTTTAAAATGTTTTAAATTGTGTACAGTAGACAAATAAAGAACTCTTACATAAGATAATCTTTGTAGTTATATAAATTAAGCACTATAATATAAGTAACATTAAAATGAAAACTATATAAAGAGTTTGGTTATTTTAGCCTACCATTGTCATGTTTATACAATGGTACAATGCAATACTTGGATGGTACGAAATGATACATCTCATTGGTCAAGTAAAAACCAATTGAAAATATATCTTAAAAAATTTAAGATATCGTATTTTTCCCTAATGTTAACTCTAAGAAACCGCTGAATATGAAATGGTAATCTGCCAACCAATCAAATTTTGCAAAAAAACGGATTATATATTTAAACTCGGCACCCTTGAAAACCACTTAAAATATATTTTATGCTTGACTGGTAACCTTGTATTATACAATTTTCCTATTTGAATGCCACCATACAACTTGTCCAATAGAAAGGAGACTTTTTGCAGAAGGAAGTAGAAGTAATTTGACCAAAAGTAGTTGTTGACCTCCTCCCAGAAGAGAGAATGGTCAATGACTATTAATTAATAATTGAAAAGTGATCTGTGTTGGGTGGGTTGTGGTCGCCATGTGTGTGATCAAAGTTGTTAACCTTAATGTCTAAAAGACTTTTTTTTTTGTATTTAAACAAATCACACAATCTTGTAAAAATGCTAGAATAATTGCTTTTATGTGATAATAAATTTTTTAAATTTTGGAAACAGATTGTATAAACTATGTGGGAAGTGTGTTCTCATAAATATTGCATTTATGGAAAAATTATTGGGCTGCAATTTGAAAAACATTGTAAACCTATAAATTCTGACTGATGTCCCTTGTCCATCTGTGTTTGTTTCTGTCTGTCTGTCTTTAATCTTGAGAAAGGCGTTAGATAGATGAAAGGCAAGACCAGATATGCTTAGGAGCAGGAGACCCAGATTAACAATATAGAAACTTCTGGTTTTGAACGGAAGTCACGTTACATCAATTTAAAATTTTTCCCTGAATGGAGTTAGATAGATAACCAGCATAATTCTATTGCTAACAGGAAAAGTATGATTTACAGGAGCAAGACACCCCTAAATTGAGATCATCGTGACTAAAAGTTGCAACCTGGCATTGTGACGATGTCACAATAAATACCTGCTCATTAGAATTGGTTTGGTTTATTTGGTTAGGGCAATGCAACATGTGAGCGATATGCCAAAGGTTAGAAGATCCCAGGAAGACTTATAAGAAGCAGGACTCTAATTAGGTCTTGCTAACGTGAAGAAAATCCGGAAAACTCCAGCCCATTCGCCATGCCCGAACCCCTGACTAACTAACTACCAGAGTTTGGTGGTTTTATGCACTCAGCTACTAGAGGGAGCTTATTAGAATTCAGAAAGTACCATTTAGAAATGAAAAAACTCAAGTTGTTAGATGTGAAAAATTAAATTCTTATAGACTTTTCACAGGATAACACTTTCAATCCCATGCAGTCGACAACCTTACCAGGAAATGATGTGAAATAAGACAAATTCGTACTTATGGAAGTTTTGTTTATTATTAACTGTATTTTAGAATATTTTCTTGCAATTTACGCATAGCGTAAGAAATTTAAGAAAATGTAATTGCTGATTTACATTCAATTGAAACATTTCATTTGCTCATTTACAGGTAACGCCATCTATTGGTGCTAACGTAAATCAGCAAATCGAATGTTTTACATTTTCTTAAATTTTTTGTCAATAAATGGCACTATGTGTAAACTAGCAAATTGAACGGAGATAGAAATTAATTGGCAGCCTACTATTCAAGGAGAATCAAAGGTCAAATCTGGGTAAAAAGGACCTCTTTGTGCCCATAGGGTGGAAAAAAAAAAACACAAAAGTACCTTTCTTGTATAAATGTCAATGTACGTTTGTAAATTAATTATGTTTCTTTAATTATATATCAATATTATAACAAGATTATGCAAATCAATTGACATTATTCATATACATTGGTGCCTCATATAATGTACTTAATTCATTCCAGGTGCATGTCCGTTAAGTGAAAAGTCTGTTATATGAAACGCATTTTCCCATAGAAATACATGTTAAAACATATAATTCATTCCACAGCATAAAATAACTGTACTGTACCATAAAAAAAAAAATGAAAATGGAGCAGTCACCAATTATGCCGGGTAGTCAGATGTTGTGAGGAGGAGGTGGAGGAACACTTTCTTCACACATTCATACAGATACAAACTTTTTACACATTTCAGCAGGTTTCTTTTTATTGTTTTTTAATCAGAGTCAGATTCAGAAGAGGCTACCAGGGCTTGCAGAGTCAACTCCTCTTGTTCCATCCTCTGTTTTTTGGCAGCTGGCTTCTTGAAAAACATGTTCAAGGTGGTCTGTTTCTCTCTCTTCTTCAACATCTGTCGGAAATGATGAGCAAGGGTGTCACTGTAGAGATCATTGATCCTGTTGGCCTCAGCTGTGTCTGAATAATGAGTGTCGGTAAACTCCTGAACCTCTCCCCATTTGATAAGGAAGTCTTTGTCAACTTTTACTCCTTCTGATGATTTCTTGCTTTGTTTCAATTGAAATCACCTTATCATCTTTTTTGGAAGCCATGATTTGCACAACACTTGAATAAATGTAAATACCATGCACTGAGGTGATGTACATAATAAACAACAGAGCAAGCCAAATCCCAACGGGAGCTCTGTACTTCAGATATACTAATAATATATTCTAATAATACTAATATATTCTAAAAATAGCAGATTGTCATTGGTACGGCAAAAGAGTGGAAACATCATTAGCACTTGTTCGCAGCCAGTCCGTTGCTTAAGTCACGTAACAGCCAAACAAAGTCTGTTGTTTGCAGCGTCCGTTATACGAGGCACCACTGTATATGAAAAATAATTGTAAGAGATATGCATGCTATGTAAATTCAATCATAGCTCGACGTTCTGAACACCATTATCAAAAGCTCGACATTCTGAACACCATTATCAAACTTTTAGGCTTGCAAGATGGCGGCACTCAACATTTGACATTCACAATTTAGAGATGAAAATTTCAGCCACAACCTCTCTAGTGTTTCCAACTTAGCCAAAGAATTTAATATGCCAAGATCATAATTGTAATTACCTAATGTTTTAATTGATGGTATGTCTTCTAAACAATAATAACCTTACTCTTTCCCTTCTACCACTATACTGTATTTTTTAGTACAATAAAGGTTAAGTTTTACAAATAACAAAATTTTTATTCTTGTATCTTTTTTTAGGATGGGAATAATTAATTAAATATCAGTTATTTATTATGAGAAAAATTGTTTCTATATTCGTCATTTTCCATATTCGTTAGATCCTTAGAAACAGATTGACAACGAATATAGAGGTTCCATTGTACTCTGGTTATGTCTGCAAGATGTTGAAGTTCTTTGTTGGTATTCTTACTCAAGCAATGCATAAATGCTTATCTCATTAAGAATCTAAATGTTGCCATTTTATACAAAGGCAGATCGTAGGATGTGATGGGAATGAAAATTGGGCTGTACATTGGTTTGTGGAATATAGACATTTCAACCACCACATTTCTAATTGCCATATGTATATCCAGGAATAGGCTTCACTCATGCTACTTTTATCAAATTTTAGTGTTAGCCCATACAGATTGTTGTTGAATTTCTGCAGGAAGTTATTGACTTATGGTCTGGATTTCCATGATTAGAAAGTTGACCGCACATCTTGCATATAGTACAGTGGTTTGCCACGGCACTCTAGGGTGCCGCGGCTTCCTCACAGAGGCCACGAAATATTATGAAATTTTCATAATTTTACTTCCACTTTCAAACAATGTGACATCTATTAGACCTGGTGCAAATCATTAACTCAGTAATAAAAGTGGCATATAGAATTGCAAAATGTAAAAAGCCTCATACAATTGCAGAAAAACTCATTCTACCAGCTGCTGTAGATATGGTGAACATTATGATCAGTGAGTCGGCTTGGAAGCAGCTTTTAAAAGTGCCTTTGTCCAACAACACCATTAGTCGCAGAATACATCATATAGTGGAGGATTTCCAGTCTTCCGTTAATTGAAAAAATAAAAGGGAAGGAATTTGGGTTGCAGCCGGATGAGGACACAGATAATAATAATAATGCTCACTTGATTTGCTATGTACAGTTTATAGGTAGTAATAACATTGTAGAAGACTTTCTTTTTTGTAAAAGTATCACTGCTGGTGCTAAGGCTCATGACTTGTTCAAGATCCTTAATATTTTTATATTCAAAAATAATTTGGAGTGGTGGAAATGCATTGGGTATCTGTACTAATGGTGCTTGTTCTACATCCAGGTGTTATGGAGGATTGCAAGCACTTTTTTGAAGCAAAGACCCTGATGCACTGTGGACCCATTGCGTTATTCACAGGAAAGCACTCACATGAAAAACTCCGAGTCTACATTGAACCAGGCCTTAGAATATGTAATAAATATAGTAAACTTTATAAAAACTCTGCCATTAAAGGCAAGATTTTTCAAACAATTATGTGAGGATATAGTATCTGAGCACACTTCTTTGTTTTACTACAGCACTTTGAGAAAGTAAAAAGCATTACCATCAGTTCAAACGTATGTTTGAACTGTGACAGAAAATTTATATTTTTCTTAAAAAGGAAGACCACAAATATATATTTCAACTTTTATAAAAAAAAGTTATAACTATGGAAAAGTAAAATAAATGAAGATGGAGGAAAAGAATGTTTCCCCTTGTTGCAACAGTTTTTGACCTATGATGGGGTTGATTTATCTCAAAGTATGAAATCTAGTTTTGAAGAACAGTTATCATAGCTTATCAACTAATTTCAGAAATATTTTCAAAATGATGATATCGATAAATTTGCATGGAATCAAGATGCCAGTGCTCCATCTTAATTTACTTCTGCAGAAGAAGAGAATCTTATTGAGTTGTCTTACAACAATACATTGAAAATAAAATTTAGCAGCATGGAATTAACTGAATTTTGAATATCAGTAAAAAAATGAATATCCCTTCCAAGTAGTAAAGCTCAGAGAATCAATTCCATTTGCAACTTCTTATTTGTGAGAAGCTGAGTTTGTAGCTGTGATAAAAACTAAACATTGCACAAAAATCAATGTGGAGAAGAAAATGAAGGTGGCTGTGTGTAGTTTGATCCCAAGATTTGAGAAAATGTGCAGTAAACAACAGGCTCATCCATCCCACTAATTATAATTAATTGAATTTGCTCAATCACATTTTTTTGTTATCTTAAATATGTTTTTTAGTTATTTTTTATTTAACATCCTAACTCATTAATTTTAAAAAATATTGGCTATTTCTCTATTTTGCAAATTGTACTTGTTAGATTTTGACATAGGACACCTTGGAAAAATTTGGATTTAGCAAGGGTGCAAGAATAAAAAAGTTTGGGAACCACTGATATAGTATAATACAGGGGTTCCCAATCTTTTTTATACTGTGACTCCCTTTACTGGCTGTAACTTTTATGCGACGCCCTTCTAAAAAAAGATACCTGCGTGTAGCTCCAGCAGACATTAAAATTACTTCATTATTCAATGAAAACTCCAAAGAATATAAAATCTTAATAATTATTATTTATTAGAAAATATAATAGTACAATTAATGAGAAGGATGAGCTTGCTTTTCTGAGCATAACTTCTCAAATCGGGGCAAAGTTTTGAAATCGCTACTCTCATTTCTTTTTCTAAATTTATCTGTGACCTGTATTTCGACTTGATTACTGCAACTGCAGAAAAGCCAGTTCACACAAGTACGATGTAGTAAACGGTAAAAGAACCTTCAAAGCTGTAGTACTGATAGCAGGATATTCTTGGGATACATTGCTCCAAAATTGAAATAGTTTGTCTTTATCAAATCATAGTTTTAGGCTCGTATCACAAAATAGTTCTAATAGCTTTTCTTCCTCGAATGTTGAAAGTGTAGATGGGGTTGGGATCGACTGGAATGGGTCTCTAATCCAGTCGTATTGATTTACATTCTTTGGAAAATATGTATCAAAATGGGTGCTTAGTGTTGATAAGTGTTGGATAAATATCAATTGCAAACTTGGCTCCAGATTTTGAATAGATTTTTCCTGCAGAAAGCCATTTAAAACAGGAAAACAGTCAGTATTTCCATGCTCCTCTTCTATTTTTCTTTTCCACAACAGCAACTTTTTTTTAAACGCTGCAATTTTATCAGCCAGTTGCAGTATATGCGTTTCGTTTCCCTGCAGCGATTTATTAAGGACATTTAATTTCTCAAATATGTCGCAAAGATACGCCAGTTTTATTAAGAAGTCAGTATCTTTAAACTTTTCTGCGTCACGATGCGATTCTATCAATAAATACGTGTACAACTCATGTTTTAATTCGTATACACGTGAGAGTACGTTACCTCTCGACAACCAACGAGAGTTACAGTAATAAAGTAAAGATGTATGCTCGGCACCCAAATCTTCACAAAGCTTTCGGAAAAATCTTGCCTTCACGGGTCTTGTTTTTATAAAGTTTACCACTTTAATAATTATATCAATCACAAGATTTAATTCAGGTGAAATATTTTTTGTAGCCAGGGCCTCCCTATGTATGACGCAATGTGTCCATTTTGCATTTGGTGCCTTGGTTTTAATGAGAGCTTGAAGTCCTCCATATTGCCCTGACATCGCGCGAGCTCCATCTGTACACACACCAACACAGTTCTCCCATTGAATGTTATTTTCTTTCATGTATGAATCTATGATCGCAAACAAATCACTAGCCTTCCCGGTATCAGTCATTTCTTTGCAAAATAACAAATCCTCACATACATTTGCTCCTTCCATGTACCGCACGTAACATATTAATTGAGCGTCGTTATTACTGTCTGTCGCTTCATCCAGTTGAATGGCAAATAAACCAGAAAGTTTTTCCACAATTTGCTCATTAATGTCTTCAGCTATGTCATGAATGCGACGACTAATCGTATTGTTAGAAAGAGGAATATTTTTTATTTCTTTAGCCGCCGATTCTCCAATCATTACTGATACCATATCAATCGCTGCAGGTAAAATAAGATCTTCAGCAATCGTGTGTGGTTTCTTGCATTTGGCAATACGGTGAGCGACCTTATAAGAGGCGAGCAGTGCTTTGGAGGGAATAGATGCTCTGGAAAACAAGGATGTCGACTGATGTTTCAGTTCTCGCAATTTTCTTGCAAAAAAATCTCGCGGTTTTCCTTGTAAATTACTGTGAACTGTTTCTAAATGACGTTTCAATTTATTAGGAAGCATACTTTCAGCTGCCAGCACCTTATGACAAACAACACATTGGGGTAGTTCCACATTTCCTTTGCTAACGTAAGTAAATCCAAAATCTAAATATTGGTCATCATATTTTCTGTATTTTTTTCGTTTTTCTACAGTTTCCTTTGTACTCTTTCCTGAGTCTTCAACACGTTTTCTATTTATTTGAATAAAGTTATCCATTTTACAATGCGCAATTTAAATAGAACACACTTGAAATCAAAACA